CTGGCGCTGTAGAGCATTGGGACAGCGGAGGAGGGCTCCACGGAAATCCGCGTCGCTGAGGAGACTTTAAACTGCCCCACCGTCACCCCAGCGAAACGAGAAGTTATGAAAGGCAGCAGGGAAGCTGCATCCACGTTGGCGAACGTCACGCGGTGGCCGAACGCGTGGCTGCTCTCCAGCCTGCCGAGGATGACATCGTCAATCTGCATAATTACTATCCCCTGGCCGGCGGTATTCACGCCAGCGATGAAGCTGCCGTAGCGGCTCTGGGCGCCGGCAAAGAGGCGGTCCTCATTCGTTTCTGTGGGGCCGGCCGTAAACGTCACATGAAACGTGACGCTCCTTGAATCCCTACGTGTTGCAAAGGGGCGTCAAATGGGGAGCGTTACACGATATTCAAGGTGCACGCGAGCGGTGATGAACGTGACGGAAGACATCTGTGCTTAACAGGCAGCGGCCAAATATGCGCGCCGGAGCTGATTGCCATGCATCTATTTCGCACGGTGAGAGGCGGAGCGTAAGTACCTTACTGGTGTGAACACGCTCTTTGCATGTAGCAGCTCGCTTACGTGGCGACGGCAGGAGGGCCGACCGTCGACGTGCTGCTCTGGGACGCAGCCGTGTCCAGCCTCTGACGCTTGGCGTCCGGTGGGTCGATACTACTGCGGGAGTTGGTCGAAGGTGTAGAAAGTCAGGAGATGGGATCGGATAAGGTTCGCATAACGCGGTGCATAACAAGGTGTCGCATATGTTCGCATAACGCATAACGCATAACGCAAAACACGGGACGCAGCAACGCAAAGGATGCGAACAGCGTATTTACGCACTAGAGCAACGCAAACCGACCTGCTGGTCACCAGGGTGCGACATCGCAGATTGTAGGACGATGTAGGCTCTAGGCGTTGTCGCTTGGGGTCCGGCGAATCCATCCGGCTGCAAGCGTATGTCTGAAAACAGGTATGTCTGAAAACGGTGGAGGCACTTGGAGTAAGCAGGCTTGCAAAGAGGTAAGTGCAGGATAAGTGGGGAGGAATCGGCGCGCTAACAATTATACATCCGCGGCAGCGTGTCGTATAGATGACAGATGTCCGAGGATCGGCAGACGCGGACATTGGACGCGCACGCGCCGCGGCTGCGAGCCAGGTCGCGTGATTGCGGTGGCCTTGAACGACTCCGAAACAGGAGTAGAGTTATACAGCGAAGACAGGCGTGGTCAGGCGATAACGCGGATTGGTGCCAATTCGCGTGATTGTGGCCGCGTCTAGCGAAACCGAAGCTCAACGTCGGACGCCGAACGTCGCCAACTCGCGCGATTGCGGTGACCTTTAACGACTCCGAAACAGGAGTAGAGTTATACAGCAAAGACAGACGTGCTTAGGTGATGATGCGGATTGCTGCCAATTCGCGTGATTGCGGCCGGGTCCAGTGAAACCGAAGCAGAAACGGAAGCCGGTAAAGACGCGGATAGCTGAGATTTCGTGGTAATAAAAGGATGTATACGCAC